ATGGCAGAGCACAGCTTTCTTGCTGTTTCTGCTTCCAAGTGACTTCTGAACTGCTCCAGGTCTGCATTATGGGGTGGCGTTCTGTACAGCAAGATGAGGCTGATGGAGAAATCGGTGCCTTCTGGAGCTAGAGCTACAGCATATACATCCCTGCTTAGCCACAGCGAGAGCGACAGGAAGCACTCCTGTACAAAGAAGTTAATTAATATGATCTTTAGTTCATGGTTCATTTTATTTCATCATGTTTTAGTTGAAAATATTATTTTCCTCAGCTTCTTGTTCTCACTGCAAATTTCTAAAGATTTCAGGCTCTGTTTTTAGGATCATTAGAGAAAAATCAAATTTAAGATTTATGGAAATGGTTTAAATAACTTGATATATGGACATTACCCAAACAATTTTGACTTTGTCTTGATTTAGTCTGGTTGTCAAATTAGTTATATCAATTTATTAAAAATCACCCCCTTTTCATCATATAGCAGGCACCTGTAAAGAATTATGAAAAGGGGAAGTCTGCCATCAGCATCAAATGTTGTTACTGAGAACCAACAGCTATGATTATTATTGACATACCCTATTCTTTTTTTTTGCAATGAAAGAAAGAGTTGGTTCTTTAATAAATAAACAAAAATAGGAAACCATTATCTAAACTAATAAAAAGGCAAAGAGAGAATATTCAAATGAACAAAATAAGAAACAAAAGGGGGATATAACAACAGATACCTAGAAAATCCAAAGAATGATTAGGTCATACGTTATAAACCCATACTCAATAAAATTGAAAAATCTAGAAGAAATGGATAATTTTCTTGATAGATACCACTTACCAAAGTTAAGTCAAAATCAGATAAGCAATTTAAATAGACATATATCCAACCTCTAAATAAATAATAACAGTCATTAAAATCTACCAATCAAAATAGGCCAGGGCCAGCCACTTTCTGTGCAAAATTCTACTGGACTTAGTTGAGATTTTCTCCCTGAGATTTCATTGAGTGGAAAAATGAAATCCTTGTTAGTGTAGAAGGCATGCTCACATGGAAAGATCCTTGTTAGTGTAGAGGGCATGCTCACATGGAGAGTTCTCTGTTTCCAAATGAGGTTTCACATTACTGAAAATTAAATAAGTTGCCTTTCTGTGTGTCTTAGCAGTCACATGGAATTTTAAAGTAGAACTTCAGAGTCTCCGTTGTTATCCATAGTTTTGTTTTGCTTTTTGCTAGACTAAGGTAGCATGGTCAATTGGCTTAAATATATTTGTGAGTTTATACAGTATACTGTAAAGGAAACAAAGTCTTGACTAGAAAGATGACGCCCTAAGTAAACACATGTTCAGAATAGACTAGACAAGAATTTGAACAAGGAACTTTGTAAGCTTGCCCACATGTGGTCAGGTAGCAGCTAGGTACCATTTTGTCCGTCTACTGTGAAGATACACTGGTAATTTTCCCACACATGCCACCAAGAGGAATAAACAAGCTCAGAAATGGGAACTTCCATTTAATTTGGGCAGTCAGTTCCCTCAGCTCTGAAAACAAAACCTCCTCTACAGCTCTGAGTTAAGTCTCTAACCTCAGGTGTTTGGGGTTAGCCTGAAAAGACTTTGCTGTTTAGGATTCTGGAAACAAATATCAATTGAGATTCAGTGGTGACTGAAGTGGAAATTTCTACCCTCATTTGTAGTGTGAAGTATAAAATCCCCATATGGCTCACCACTTTACCTTAGGAGAAGCACATACAGACACACACAACATGCACACACTCACATGAACAACCTTCAGTTTAGACAGTGAATCATATCTTCAAGAAAAGAAATTGTTTAAAGCTATCTTAACAAGGTTTTTTCTTCTTTGTCTGTGTCCTGTTCTCATCACACTCTGCAGTTAGGGATGCTGAGAGAAATTCACATTCAGCTTGTCCATTGCAGGGTTTTGTAGGCATGTCCTAGGCTTTATATATGTTGTGTATTGGAAACTAACTGCATCACAGCCCTTTAAACAGATACGAGAAGACTTATATAAACATATTGAGATTTTGTGTGACCATGCTGAACCAAGGATCCAATTAAGGAGGACTGTCATCTTACTGTAGTTTCTTTTTTAGAAAATGCTGCTGTTCCACTTATGTTGGTCTTAGTTTTTCTCAACAAAAGCAGAAATCTTAGCATTGTTCTATATTAAAGGGAAAACTACCTTTATTAACTGCATTAGCTAAACAGTGATACATGATACATGCCATTTATAATTATGAAGTCATTTCTCTTTTTTTCTAGTGTCTGTTAAATTTTATTTATTTATTTATTATTTTTATTTATTGTGACAGGATCTCACTATGTAGCCCTGGCTGTCCTGGAATTCAATCTGTAGACCAGTCTGGCCTTGAACTCACAGAGATTCATCTGCCTCTGCCTCCTGAGTGCTGGACTTAAAGGTATATACCACTACCTCCTAGCTAAAATATGTTTTTATTAAAAATAAAAAGCTGTTATGGCTAAAAATTTAACTAACTTAGGCTATTTATTCTCATCTTGGTAGGAAATATTAACTCAAAGTAGAGAACTTGTGTTATCTTTTCTGTAGCTATTAATTTAGATACAGGTTTGTTACTCTTTAAGAAGGAAAGTAGTTACCCTAAAGACTTTCAATCCATTGATGGTTTTCATTGCATGGCCCCTTTCCATTGAGCAGAATAGCAAAGTCCTCACTAAGACTTCACATGAATCTCTCTGGACCCTGACTCATGGTCATGTAATTCAACAGAAATAGAATCCCTTTAAGAGCTAAGTCAGGGTCTTGGATTCAGGCTACTTTAAAAAGTGAATGGTTTCTATGTTCCTACTAATAGCCAGCATACCTGTGTAGTTTAGATTAATGTTAATATTTACTTTAGCAATAACTATGGAGGCAAGTGTGAATACCACATATTTTCCATAGGCAGGAAAGCTGGCTTAGTTACTGTTAACAGTACTTATGCTCTGTGACTACATGACCCTTACATAACTTCATTTCAGCTCTAAATAATCTAATGTGGACTTAGGAGTTCACTGTCTTTGATCTACAGCACTGTTTATTGGAAAGATCATCTTAATTGAATTCCTTTTGTACTCCTGTAAACATTAATTTACCAGCTTTATAGCATAGTAAGAAACAGTATGAGGGGCTAGAGAGATGGCGCAGTGACTAAGGGCAGTGTTGCTTTCGCAGAAGACCAGGTTGATTCCCAGTGCCCACACGGCAGCTAGCCAGCAGTAACTGTAGTTCCAGAGGATCAAACACCCTCTTCTGGCCTCTGTGGACATTGTACACACATGGTGAACAGACATAGGGTAGGCAAAGCACTCACACGCATAAGATAAAATTAATAATTTTAAAGAGCAGTATGTATGACAATTTAAACAAAAAGAGTAGGGGAGAGTAAGTTAGTTTTTAAGCAAGGAAGTGATACCAAAGAATAATGTTTAGAAACGAATGGCAGAAATCTTGAGAATGTTAATATAAAAGACTGTAGTGTGTTCTCCTCCTGTTAACTTGAAGAAAAAAAAACTTAAAGGACAGGGTTATTGTAGAAATTAGCTCAATTCGGGAAATAACCAGGCTAGCTAAAGGATTAAACAATTATATTTTTATTTATTATAAAGGGAAAACTCATGAGACAGGAATGAAAAGTCCAAGCTCAGCTGTGTCCTGCGGGAATCACAAAGAGAGAGTATCTGTTTTACTCCTGGTCCCAGAAAGCCACGCCTTAACTTGGATCTTAAAAGATAATTGGCTAACAAGGTTTCCCTGTCAGGTTATTAAATCACTTAAATGGAAGAATCGGCAGGTGACTTTTACAGTTGTATAATTTCTAATATGTTGACCAGACATGCACTTAGAATCATGGACCGTTCTTGTATTCTGTGGTAGAAATCAGTATGCTAATAAACCTTCCAGCCTCCAGTATCTGGAAACTGCTCTTAACCACTGGAAATTGATTTGCTTTATGATAAACTAGCTAATCTTTTTATTTTTATTTACTTGTTTTAGAAAGTGTTTGGGGATGTTACATTTTTACCAAATTTTTGATCACAGCCTTCTTGAGTGGATAATAAGGAGTTTTAGCTTATAGTTAGTGAAAGTAGCAGTATTTTGAAGGCCTGGAGTTAGATTTGATGGATTATCTTCCAGGACAAGCAAACAAAAATTTTAAATGTTTTTTTTTCTATTTTTCTCTTAGATTTTCATTGTCCAACTATGTAATGAAAATAGTAGGACTGTTGCTACTTAAGTCTAATAATTCTGTAGACAGACTAACCAGAAATATCTGAAATGTCCACATGCAGAAGATGCCTCCTGCAGCCTATCTTTGTTGGTGTGTCCCCTTGCCTGCCCCAAGTTAATAAAAACTGGAAGAACCTCACAGCAGAAGGTGAACAGTTGGGCCAAAGAGTGACCACTGGGGAGTGACATATTCAATGGTAGTGGCTGTAGGTGGTGTGTGGAACAAGGGGACATGTTTATTACAGTCTGGTCTTTATAGTTCAGGGATTTTGAGACAGGAACTCACTGTGTAAGTCCCAGCTGGCCTAAAACTCTATGTAACCCAGGCTTGTCTCTAATTTTCTGTGTCCTCCGCCCTCTGCCTCCCAGGCTACAAGTACAGGTGTGTCCATCACACCAGCCCACAAGCTATTTAAAATAATAGACCCGAGTATCACTTTGTTTCACTAAGCTTTCAAGTTGGGAAACTGAAAAATTAGCATCTATAGTCCTTAGCCAATTAGATGCACAAACCATTCTTACCATTGTATTTTGTAGGCTCCAGATACAGTTAATCTGAGTAGGCAGGTCTTAGGGTGTTCTGTGTGAGAAGACAGCTTTATATGTTTATATTTGAGCCTCAGACATTGCCTCAGCAATATGAATTGCAATATCCTATTTCCCCTCAAGAATTTATACTGTTTGATCTTATTGTTAACTGGGTGGCTGTGAGTCTCAAACATACTTTGTCTTCATTTTCAGGATAAGGGAAATCTTGAAGGCGTCTAGAAAACTGCAAGGTGATCCAGAACTGCCGATGTCTTTTACTTTGGCCATCGTGGAGTCGGACTCCACAATAGTCTATTATAAGCTTACAGATGGATTTATGCTGCCAGACCCTCAGGTCAGTTTTGAAGTAACTGACAGGAAACTGGTGGAGGAGAAATGGCGTGGCATGGGTCAGGCCACTTGGCTTCCGCTTCAAGGAAAAAACGGCTGTTTTTATCCCTCAGAAAACTGTCCTGTCTTGTGCAAAGCAGCACGTTCCTAGCTATTTTTGAAAAAATAATTTGATTCTCCTATCCTCTGGAGAATTTATTTCTCCATAGTGTTTGTGAACTCATCATACATCTAAGCAAGTAACTGAGGTGACATGCAAAGACCAGTGACAGTTTTAATCAGAACGCCTTTTAAAAAACACCAAGTTACTTGACGTCCTGTTGGTAACATTTTAATACAGAGTTGGCATTTGCTTTCTCTCCATTTGTCAGCCTGATTGGGATAGTTATATTACATATCTGTCTGATTTTACTCTTGCATGTGCTGTCCGCTAGCTGCATTCTGATCTTCTTCCTTTGCGTTACAGAATATTTCTCTCAGAAGATGACATCTGTCCGTCTTGATGCTGATTTCATTCGTGAAAGACTGGATTTGAGGCATCGGCCTGTTCCGTCTTTTGTCTCAGAGGTGGTCAGGCTTGACTTGCTTGTCCCGACCTATAAGCTTTCTTTCAGCATAAAACCTCCTCAAGTGGAAGAATCTATATTGCTTGCAAATATAGGGTAGTTAGCCTAGAACTTTACCAGAGACATTGCAGTTATATGCAGGTTTATACAGGATATGTTTAGAGTGGGGGAACCTGTAGGCGCCTGTGCCAACCCACACCTCAAGTCTATGTATCCATGAAGAGTACATGAGAGAATGCTACAGTGAGAAAATGGACACAAGAGCATTAGAACATAGTTGTGGGTGCAGATGACACACCAAGGTATAAAAGTAGACAATCAAATTACCAATTGTGGTCATAGTAAGATGGCAGGGCAGTGAATGGATAACTTTGTCTTCTCTCATCGTTTCATTTGTTATTTGTATTACTTTTATAATAAAATGTTTTAAAATAAAAAAAAAAGCCTGAGACCTATAGTAGCCATCCATCATTGCATGGTAAAATGAGCATCTTGTAACAGCGTATTAATTTTACTTTTGAGACAGGGTTCTGTGTGTAGTCCTGGCTGTCCTGGAATTTGCTCTGTAGACCAGGGTGGCCTCTAACTCACAGAGATCCACCTGCCTCCACCTTCCAAATGCTCAGATTAAAGGTGTGTCTCAACACTGCCTGGCTTAGCATTTTTATGGGTCAGTGAATTGGGCTTGGGTTTGTTGGCTGCAGTCCTAGCTGAGTGTCACTGAGATGCCCCTCCTCCCTCAGCTGGATGTCCACAGCTGCCCACACCTTGTGATACTCTCAGCCTCTGAAGATAGTATAGTGGAGGCCATATTCAGCTCCTTGTCACATGGGCTTTCCCTGCATGACTGGTTGCTTTTTCAAAGCAGGAGGGGCTTCTGTCTTGTGTAATGTAAGCCTTGTCCCCTCTGCACCTGATCTTGTGACTGACCAGGAAGCAACAGTGGCAGGGACAGAGAGGAGGACAGAAGGCAGAGGTATGACAGTGTAACAGGGGTTCTTGGTCTGTAGTTGATCTGCACTCCTTTGCCCGCTCCTGCTTTCACTTCCGTTGATGAAAGACGTTCAGTGTCAGATCCCTTTGCTGGCCCTGCAGTCTTGAAGAAGGTGACTCTTGACTCCAGTGTGGCTCTCAGAACCTTCAGGTGTGAGTTCTCACCTTAGTTCCTGCTGGGCCCACATGGATTGCATGTAAAGAATTCTTTCATCACGGTGCTGGAGCAAACAATCTACATTTTCAGATGGAAATGTGAAGTTTAACAAGTGTCAGATTAGTGAGTCAGAGCTGGGTAACAAGACCAATAGGGCTTTTTAAGTCCAAGGCCAGCCCTCAGGTTCACTGTACCACTTGGGGAGTTGACTCAATTTCTGAGTGTTCCCTGTGGCTTAAAGCTGTCGTGCCAAAGCCAGCCGGGTAGCTGCTCATGTGCCCAGCGATCCAGCACAGCTTGAAGAGAGGCAACCCAGCTGTCTGAGTGAAAAGACTAGGTAAAGTGGCCTGGTGGATTAAGTCACTTTGTAATAGAGTTTACATTCGATTCTCTAGTTAGACTCAGTCCTTAGGAGCGGAGCAGGAAGCCGTGGTTTTTAAAAACACACCTCGGTTCCAATTCCCACAGTTACTGGCACTTTGCAAATTCCCTAACTATTTGGCAAACAAAGCGTGCTGTGGATTTGGGTCTTAGACTGTGGCTTGCTTTTTGCCTGGAGGTGAATTGAAACGATATATTTGGACACCAGAGGGCGCTCTAGGCTAAGTGCGTCTCCAGACTGAAGCCTCGAATTAGCTTGAGGTTTATCTTGAGAAGTGCTCCTGAATTTTTATTTCAATCTGTGGGAAGTAGCATAAATAAAAATACAAATAAGTCTTATGTACCCACACCCCCTCTTTCTGACGGGCCTCTAAAATTATACTCTGCCCGCATTAAATATGTTGCTTGAGTCAGGCTTACTCAAAATGAAAATCTCTATTTAAAAGCAAAAGCCTTTTGGGGGAAGGGGTGAGTGGGAGAGACATTTTTTAGACTGTTTTTCCCCCAGACCCATATGCAGTTATGCATTTCATTTTTGCTTGCAGAAGCCTGATTGATTCTTTGAGTTTCAGGATCAATCACCTTGCAAGAGGCCTCAGCTCTCAAGCTCAGTCTGTATTGACCAAATACCTATAGTAAAAGACATGGATTGCTTCTCTAACCCATTTAAGCTTGTTTCTTCCTTTCCTTCCAGCTGGAAGGAGAGGAAAAGGCTTTGTGGCATTTCTCTGGCTGCTCTATCCTGAAGTCCTTGCTTGGTGTGCTCCCTGCTGGGAACTCACCCAGGTCCAGTTGTTACTGACTAATTTCTTTTGTTCTCCTGCCTGGGCCTCTTTAGAAGACTCCCCACACCATAGGTCTGCTGTATGGATTCTGCATGGAGGGGAGAGGCACTGCAAAATTCACCGATTTCAGTAGAGCAAGCGTTTATGAAGTCATGGAATCTCATGTTTTGTTGTTGTTTGTTTTGTTTTGCTTTTGACAGAAACATTTTTTCAGTGTCATAAGCCTGGAACCAAACAACTTAAAGCTTCACACATGGTATTTCATCTCTTTTGTTCAGAGCATTTCTGGGCTGACTTCCTCTGTGAGGTCACTTTTTCCATTGCTGCCCCAGCAGGAAGCCACTTCCAGACTGCTGCACAGTACTTCTTGCCAAAACATATAGAGCTCCCGTCAGGAAAGGTTGTCCGCCAGCTGGATTTTACCTTGACTGCACATGGAATAATGTGCTAATCATATACTTTCCCCTTCTCTCTGGACAATGTGCTGTTTCTTGACACTGGCCCCTTCCAGCAGTGTCTTCTTGATGACCTGTGAGTAACGACTGCTTGTGTTCACAAATGAAGAAAGATGGAAAGACATGTCAGTGGGGTTATCATAATTCCCAGCTATATTATTTGATGATTCCGAGAAACTTCCCTTCAAGTCAATGAAAGCAAAATCTAAAGTGTGACATTTGTTTGGGGGCTACTGAGTAGAGACAATATTTCATTAAATATTCAATTATTAATTATCAGATATTAGCTAATATCTTAATCCAGTAGCTTAGAAGTAGAAATGTATTGTAGTGTAGAGTCTGGAGGTTACAGATCAAGGTGTCTGTCTTTTCTTACAAGGACACAGCCTTGTTATTGGGACCCCATCCTCATAACCTCACATCACAATAAAACCTCCCCAAAGCTCTTCATTTCTAAATTCAATCACACTGGAGCCTCGGCATGCCAATTTGGGATGAAGAGATATGACACAGTCCATAGCAACTGCTTCCTACATGTGCTTAGATAATGTGTGAACACAGGCCCTCAAGGAACTCAGAGCCAATGACAGTTCTCATCCCAGACTCCAGAAGCATGCTGGCAATGTCAATGGAAGAATGCTTGTCATATGGCATATAAGCTGTCATTTGTATAGTTTATGCCATTTACCTAAGGGGGCGGAGCACAACAGCTTCTGATTAAGTTTTCAAACACTCATTGTATGCATTCTGTTTCTTCTCAAGAACATACACTAGAAGAGATACAAGGAAAAATGGAAAATCAACAAGCTAAGCAAACTCTTATCCAAACTTAATTAAAGGAGAGAAAATATCCAAATGAACAAAATCAGAAATAAAAAGGGAACATAGCAGACACTGAGGAAATTTAAAAAATCATTAGGTCATACTTTAAAATCTGTACTCCACAAAATTGGAAAATCTAAAAGAAATATGTTAGGAGCATTTTTCACAAGCTATTGTGGGCCATGATGCAATTACAGCTTATAGCAATTGATAATTCAGATGTCAGCCCACCAGAGAAATTATTCTCAGACGGAAGACCCTGCATGGAAAGGCTATCAGGACCACTGGCTCTGAAAACTGTTGCTTTCATGTAATTTCACGTGTGCAATAACAGCTATGATATCATATCTCCCCATCATCATGCATTTTCATGTAGTGTGTACATGTAATCTCATGATTGGATCTCAATCTTATGAGTACATATATTTGTGGATGGACAAGAAGATGACTTCTGTGTCGTTTTGGTATATAGAACAAGTGCTCATAGTCCAGAAACTCTGAAGTTTCTCATAGTCAGAAACTTTGAAGCCTGTTCTCTATCAATAGCCTGACCGACAAGGCAAATTGGCCAGATGAGTGTCCATGTGGACAGATAACAATCAGGACTTTCACGGATATTATTCATTAACAGAATTGCAGATGTCTGGCCTTGTTTGGATCAAAGCCCTACAGAAGACTTGGTGAACTAGAATGAGAGTGCAGGTGTCTGTCCTTGTTTTATCACAGTTCTTCAAGAGATCAATAGCACCTATGTTGCCCTAAGCTTCCTTCACTGGCACCTCCCTTCTTTGATTCAAAATAGCAACTAACACTACCAATTTTTTAATACAAGATTTTAAATTCAGTAGACTATTTTTGTTTAGATCATGAGATTCAAGTGATAAAAAACCTGTTAACTGACTATGTCCAGATATTATTAATCACACGTAAAAATACAAAATAGTACACGTATTCGTTGCCTCTTCCTCAGATCTCTTATTGGTTTAGTCTCCTTCCTTTGTAAGAGACAGTCAATACCTCCTCACAGCTGCAGCTCCAGTTAGCTGCAAACCAGCTGATAAGTTTTGCTACGTAACTTCAAAGAATGTCTGTGTCCCTGAGAATTTTTCTTGTAGTTTTTTTTTGTTATTACTAACAAGTTGCTAATGAGTGGAGGTATATATGCTTGGGATTTTGTGACGATGAGGAGAATTAGAATGTAAAGAAATAAGATTGGAAGAATGTAGAATGTATAAGAAATAAGAATGGTAGAATTGGGACAAAAATGGAGCTAATAAATTATAGACAATTAGGAAAAGAGAATTTGAACTAAAGAAGAAATAAAGCAGTAACCCTCAGATATTGTGTGGAGTTATAGAAATCTTTCAGTTCCCACTCCTGAGAAGCATTTCTTTGAGGAACCCTGGGTAAGGGCTGAGAGCTGATCACTTGGCTTTTAGAGAAATGGATAATTTCCTCAATAGATACTGCTTACCAAAGTTAAATCAAGATCAGATAAACAATTTAAGTAGACCTGTAAACCTTAAGGAAATAGAAACAGTCATTAAAAGTCTTCCAAACAAACAAACAAAAAAAGCCCAGGGGCAGAAGTGCAAAGTTCTACTAGATTTTCAAAGAAGAGCTATTGCCTATATTCCTCAAATTTTCCATAAAATTGAAACAGTAGGAACATTGCCAAATTCATTTTATGAGGTCATAGTTACATGATACCCCAACCACACAAAGATTCAACAGAGGAATTACAGACCAATTTCTCTCATGAACATAGATGCAAAAATATTTAATAAAATACAAACCAATCCAAGAGCACATCAAGATCATCTATTATAATAAAGTAGACTTTGTCCCAGAGATGTAAGGATGG